CTGGCCGTGGGGAACGCCGCCGCTGCGTGGGCCTGCTTTAATCTGAAGAGTGTTCAGGTTGCCTTGAGACATTCTTGGCCTCTGTCCCTCCTCCCCTCTCTGGGTTTCGTGGTTTGCTTCACTGTGCTGTAATGATCTAATCTTCCCTTTTCTCTAGGCCTGCCAGGGTTTGATGTCTGCTTCAGGCACTCAACTGGGATCTGGACTGCTTGGGAGAGGGGGGCCTGGCTTGGACCTCACTTTCTGACGGGTGTCCAGGGGAGCCTCAGTGCCTCAGTTTCCCCAGGACAGAGGGGACCGCTGTGAGGATTGGTGGGTGGAAAGTTCTGGGCCTCTCTCAGGCTGTGATATTGCTGTGATGTGGGCGATGTTTGTTTCTCTTTGCTCTGTGCTGGGCCTGAGCCTTGGCTGGGTCAGTCTGAGTGCTCGAGCTTAGTCCGCAGCCCTGGACGCCTGGCCTCCAGTCGCCAGCACCACCGCATGTGACCTTGGTCACATTGGGCTCCTGCTGCCTTGGTTTCCCCACCCGCTGGGCTGAAACTGGACTCCTTTCTGAGTCTTCCAGGGTTTGACCATGACAGGGCTTGGCAGGCGCTCGGGCACCAGGCAAGGTTGTTTGTCATGGGTTCTGGAAGGGGTGGAGGGACAGGCGGGCCTCATGCCAGCACGGAGCCCACACTCCCCTCTCTTGCCAGCTCTGCTAGGCTCAGGCTCAAGTGTGGCTTCTTTAAAAGGACCCACCCCAGGGGCCAGGTCCCAGGAGCGCTCTCCACTGTGATTCTGCAGCTGTTGCTAGGGCAGACTCGGTACCTGGCCCCGGGGGACGAGCCGTGGCTAGCCAGGCTTAGGTAGCCTCCGTGAAGCTCACAGCAGACACAAGAAAAATATCCTTCTGTGCTCAGGCCCTTGTCTTAAAATGCAGACAAGGCTGGCTCCACGACTCCTGCCGGTTTCAACAGGCAACGAAATGGCCAACCGGAGAGGGGATGGGGGTGGGGGTGGAAATTAAGAGAGTAAAGCAAATGACAAAAATAAAAATAAATGACACAAAGAAATAGCTCTTTGTGTGGAAGCCAGCAGGCTCCCTGAGGCAGGAACTTGCTACTGGATGCATATTTGAATAGCGCCGCAAGAGCCCAGCAAGTAGGGAACGGTCCCGGGGCAGGAGAGTGTACAGCGCCCTGTCCCAAGGACACCAGCCTCTCCATGGGGGAGCCCAGGCCACCCAAGGCCCCAGCTCCCACCACAAGACCAAGCTGGGCACCAGACAGCTTCCTTGCAGTCCTTACTGTCACCAGGAGGTGGCAAGATCTTTTGTGTGAGTTATGTGGAGGTCAGGTTTGAGAATTAGGAAGTAAATTAGTAAAAGGGAAGCCTGTGAGCTGGGACTCCCCAGGGGTGAGCTGGGGCTAGCAGGGCACTGAGGTGGGCTTGCTGGCACCAGCTGGTGACGGTGCAGAGTATGGTCACAGGATGCATCTCTACTGAGCTCTTGCTGCACACCATGCACCTTTTTAAGTTGGGTGTATCCAGCCACCTGGGCCTCACAACAGCCCGTGACCATGGAGGTAGGACATCGCCCTCATTTTCCGGATGGGGAAACTGGGGTGCAGACTTGTTAAGAAGCAGCTAGTAATAGGGCTGGGGTTCCCACCACAGAGGTTTGTCTCCAGAGCCCAGCCCTTAGGCACGTTCCTCACGGCCTCCTGCTCATTGTCCTGCTCAGGCTTGGCACAGCTGGCACCAGGTGCCACCGCCTTCTCTGCCACTGCCACAGGCAGAAGAGAAAACAAATGTCCCAGTATTCCACCTCCACGGTGCTTCTGCCTCTGAGGCCCAGGGAACCCACATATCAGCCAAGACAAGCTGGTGGCAAATTTTGTTAAGTTGTTCACTTGCCACATGACCAGAGGCATATGATTCAACCCCTTGGACTTAATGTTCTCCCCTTCTGTACAACGAGGGGACTATGGGAGCCCTCGGCTCATTTGCTGCTCTGACATGCAACAATTCTAAGAAAAGGCTTTCTTCCAGAACTCCCAAACACAGCGTGACAGAGGCTGCTGACTTGCCTGGTCACGCGTGCACACACACACACACACACACACACACGCATATATACGCATGCAGAATTCTGGACAGAGTTGCACAGATGTGCTACGGAAACTGGGCAAGGCTTCAGTCATGGGGTTGTGGGGTTTGGTCCACCATCTGGACCAAGAGCCACAACCTCCTAAATAAATAACCCAGCTCCTCAGTGCCCACCCCCAGCAAGCGCTCAGGGCACGCCCTTATCTCCCTTCTTGTCTGCCCACCTGCCTCCTTCTGATTTTCTTCTCCTGGGAAGAGCAGAGGGGGGCCTGCTGGGAAGGACTTGCAGCTGGAGGGGCAGGCCCCTCACTGGCGCTCCAGTCCTCTCCTTCAGCCCTTTCCTTGCTGGGGCCCGCCTGGGGAACCAGAAATGCCAGAACTGTAACTTGACCCCTGACCTACAGGCTCTGGGACCTGCAGGGGGAGCCGTCCCCAGGAGGTGGGGCCCGGGCAAGTGGCAAGTCCTGCAATGTCCCGGTTCTCCGTGCTTGGGGCTTCAGCGCTCAGAGGCTACAACTGGTGAGGACAAATAATGATAAAAAAAGAACCCCAAACCACATGCTTCCTCCACGGGCCGAGGAGATGGGCGGGGAGCCAGCGTTGTGGGGGGAGGGCCGGCTTCGGAGTGACCCGCCTTCAGGCTAGGCTGGAACCAGCCAGTCCAAACCTCCCAGCCCCGCCTGACTTTGAACCAGCTCTGCTTGGGTCTGGAACTGATGAGACCCCGGTGTGGGTGGGCCCCAGGCAGCTGGGCTGAGCCCCTGGAGAGGGGCTTGGGGGCGGGCGTGTGGTGAGGGTGCGTGCTGGGGTGAGGGGGCTGGCCGGCAGACAGGCTGAGCGCTGTCCCTCCACACCACCCTCATCTCAGTCCAGGCCTTTGATGGGGACCAGGTCACGTGCCTTCTTGGGGGTGCTTCTGAGGGCTTTGAGGTGGGGGACAGGGCGCCTGCCCTGCTCCTGCCTTTACTTCCCCAGTCCCTAGGGTGGATACCGGAGATCTGCCCACCACCTTTTATCCTGCCGGCAACACAGTGACACCTGGTGGGCCATGAGCGCCATCGCAGGGAACCCCCAGAAGGGCTGAGTCCCAGCCTCCCAGCCTCACCCAGACCCTGCGCTGCTCTCTCAGGCTGCCCCCAGGAGGCTAAGACCCCCGGCTCCCTCTGAGCCCAGAGTCCCGGGCACTGGGGACCACTGGACACAGGAGCTGGGTCTTGGAAGGGTTCAGTGCCTCATCAGACAAAGACTTTTGGGAGCCTGTCCAGGTCATGAGATCATGGCACTTTGGCACTTGGCCACCAGGGTTGAGTGAGGCTTCTGGAAAGATCTGGAAGGGACTGGGCCTGGGGGTGAGCCCTCAGTTTCAGCACCTGGGGATATGAGTGCACAAGGCAGATTCTGCTGCCCTCCTCAGGGCCAAATCTGAATCCATGCTGGGCCCTGAGTCTGGGTGACCCATGTCCCCACCTCCCAGCTACCCCAGGGACACGCTGGGCGAGATAGCTTGGCACAATACCCCCAACTGCACAACCATCACCGAGGGCTGTGCCTGCATGCTTTTAGAACCACAGAACTAATGGGATGTCATCTGCCTTTTATTTCTCGTGGCGTGACTTAGGTAGGGTCACACAGCTATGAATGTGAGGGCATCTCCCTGAGGGGGCCACGGTACCCAGTCACTTCCTCTGGACAGAGCTCAGCTGGGGACCCTGAGTTTGTTGCATGGCAGAGCGTTGCCAGGTGTCTGATCGCAAGGCCCTGTGGTCACATAGTCCATTCCCGCGGATCCTTTGGGCCATAGTGAGCAGCGTTTTTGTGATCTCTTTGCTCATTCTCCCAGTATTGAGGACTGCTGGAGTTTGTTTTTATTTTTATTTTGTATTTTATTTATTTATTTATTTTTGGGTGTCTAGACTCCGATGTGAGCTGAGGTGGCCGTGGCCACCACGTGGCGTTTGAATCCAGTTTTACAGTGTTGCTGTGTTACCTTGGTTCCTTAACCTCTCTGCGCCCCAGTTTCCTCCTCTGTATAAAGGTTATAATGCTACCTGCTCCGTGGGGTTGTCAGGATGATTTGGTGAGCTAATGTATGGAAAAGGCTTAGGACAATGCCCACTGCATGGGCGCTGCTGAGAATTGTTTGCTAAGAACTATTTCCTCTCCCCCACGGAGGGGAGTACACAGGTGCGGTGGAGGGAGTGTGTCTTAGCTTGGGCTGCCGTAACAAAATATCACAGACTGACTGCATGGCTTGAAGAACAGAAATTTACCATCTCACAGTTCTGGAGGCTTGAAGCCCAAGGTTGGGGGGCCAATGGGCTTGTGTTCTTGTGGGGGCTCTCTTCCCGGCTCACAGGTGGCTGCCATTTCACTGTGCACCCACATGGTCTTTCTTCTGTGTGCGCATGGAGAGAGGGGGAGAGAGAGAAAAGAGAGAGAGAGAGAGGGAAATCTCTTCCTCTTCTTATAATGCCACCAATCCTTTTAGATTTGGACCCCTTCCTTATTACTTCATTTAACCTTAATTACCTCCTAAAGTCCCTATCTCCAAATACAGTCACATTGGAGGTTAAGGCAAATATTTGGCGGGGGCACGGTTCAGTAGCAGGGTAGAAACCTGACTGAAGAACCCAGATGCTGCATGCATGCCAACCAGGGACCAAGACCCAGGTCCTTCTTGGGACCTGCAGCAGGGCTGGTTTCCCCCGGCAGCAGCTTGAGGCAGTGGACGGACAATTCCAACCTGCCAGACATCCACAGGGCCTGGAGGACCAGTCCAAGCCCCAGGTCCCTGCAGTCCCAGTGCTAGGGGCTGCAGACCTCCCATGATGGGGGCAAGCGTTGTGTGCAGAGTCCATACTGATGTGTCCTACATCCCTGACACCCATCTCTGCTCCCCATCTCTCCAGCCTGGGGACAGCCTGCTATGAGCTGTGCATTACAGATTCTACCTGCCTGTTTCCTGGGGTTCTGTGTGGCCGGAGGCAAGCATATCCTTTTTCAAGGCTGCTGTCAAATTTGAGCTTGAAAAATGTGTTTGGTGGCATGGGACATGGATTGGGTTAGGAGAGTTCCTCTCCACAAGCTGAAGCTGAAAAATTGTCAAAGCACATGGATTTTCAGGGGGTTCTTGGGGTTCCTTGGCTTAGGCTAAAGGTATGAGGTGACATATTCTACCTCCCCCCCCCCATGTGCTCAATACCTCTCTCTCAGTCCAACTGGGAGAGACACTGTTGAAAGCTTGCATTGTTTAGGGCTGCTTCAGTTGCAAGTTATAGAAACCCAAGTCGAAGTAGCTTAAGCAAAGAGGGAATTTATTAACCCACAGCTGGATACTGCCTTCAGGCACAGTTTGATCCAGGGGTTCAAACAATATCATCAGGGCTTTGTCTTTCTTGGGCCCCCAGCTTTGTCTCCTTCTGCATCCTGTCTTGGCTTTATTGTGCAGATGGGATTTCTTCCTGTGTCAAGAAGATGACAGCTGGTGGCCTTAGATTCACATGTTTCCAGTCAATGAATTCCCAGAAACAACTTCTGTCTTTCACATCTCAGAGAAGACTTAACTGGTTTGCTCAGGACCATGTACATTAATGAACCAATCAACATAGGGAGGGTCCTCTGACTGGGCGGCCTGGGCTGCTTGCCCACCCTTACATTTCTGGAAGCAGGTAGGGTGGCCATGATTGGCAGCCGCACCAGTACCAGCTGGAGAGGGAGAGAAGTTCCCCAGGGAAAACAGGGGAAGGCGGTTGGGGAAGTGAGTTGAATATGCAAAGCCATGCTGCCACACTCCTCTCCGAGGGACTTGCCCAGGAGGACTTCTGTCTTCAAATCAGAATGGCAGCACAGGAATGTTAAAACTTGTCAAGTCCACTCCAACTCACTCGACAAATAAGAGGGCTGAGGCCAAGGTAAGTGCCTTGCTCAAAGTCATCCTTCATTCTCCTGCAGAGGCATGACATCATTCCTGGCTCTGGCTCTAATTATTCCAGTCAAGAGCCAAGCGCAGTGGCCAAAGGGTTGTCTGAGAATCCCCTCTTCCCCCAGAGTGGCTCAGCAGACGGCCAGGAGGGGAGGGGAGGATTGCAGATCTCCTTCCTGATCAGCCCAAGGCATTTGTCTCTCCCACTCTTCGCCCTAATCGGGGTCAGGGGCCAGGAGCCCTCTCACTCCTCCTCTGCCAGCTGAGGCCAAGGAGACTGCAAATGGCTGTCAGGACCTGCGAAGGTGTGGCCGGGAGATTACAAAACAGGGAGGTGGGTCTCCACGTGTGGTCTGTGATTCATCCAAGAGTCTGAAAGTCAAGCTAATCTCCGTGGGAGGGGGTGAGCATTGGAAGGCCTGGTAAATTCTGATCAGCATGGGATCCTCAATCGAAATCATTTCTAGACACTGTCTTAATCAGGGATCCTTGCCCAACGCAGGATGTGATGGCAAGAGAGGAAAGGGGCTGGGCATGGTGGCACTTGCCTGTAGTCCCAGCTCCTGGGGAGGCTGAGGCAGAAGGATCGCTTGAGCCTGGGAGTTCGAGGCTGCAGTGAGCTATGATCCTTCTTGCCCCACAATGGCAGCTTTTCTCTCTCCCCATGTGTGCATGGCTGCCCCAACCCAATTCCACATGTCCTCCATAAAAGTCACTGCTTCTGGCTATGCCCCTGTCATCCAAGCCCCCTCCCCACTAGAACACTAGTCTCCTTTCCTCCAGCTCCAATAATTCTACCCGTATCTCTAGACCTGAATCAAGTTGTGCCTTCTCTAGAATTCTGCCTTGATTACTTACTCTAACCCAGTGGTATTCAACTTCAATCTTGCCCCCCCAGGGGACATTTGGCAATGTCTGGAGATATTTGGGGTTGTCACAGCTGGAAAGCGTGCTACTGGCATATAGTGGGTAGAAGCCAGGGATGCTGCTAAACATCTTACCATGCACAGGAGGACAGCTCCACAACAAAGAACTATCCAGCTCATAATATCAGTAGTGCCAAGGGTGAGAAACACTGCAGGTTAGGGTGCCTAGGGCCAGTGCTACACAGCTTTGATCTAATCCACCCTAACGAAAGCCAGTTTGCTGGGGTTCAAATCCCAGCTCCACTGCTCACTGCTATGTAATCTTGTACTAGTAACTCAACCTCTCTGTGCATGTTTCTTATCTGCAAAGTGGGGCTAATAATAGTACCTACCTCTTAGTGTTGTGCAGATTACATGGCTTCCTATGTATAAAGGGTTTAGGACAATGCCTGGCTCATAGAAAGCACTCATTATATGCCAGCTATTGTTATTTTAATCAGTGGTTCTCAGTTGAATCTCTCCCAGGGAGAATCTTGGAAACAGTGCAGGTTTGGTGGTGGTGGGAATGTTGTCTTCTAATATAGTCATGCCTACTAAGGATTTACAAATTGAATGTAGTCATTCCTGAGCATTTGCACACTGAATTACATGTTGTTTTATTATAAGTTATTTTTTATCCTTTGTAATATAGTTATAATAATATTGATTAAAATATTACGTCTGTAGGGTAGGTTATATTATCAACAAATTTACTTTCAGATTGCTAAACTATTATGAAATATTTAAAAATAAGTTTTAAAGGGAGCATTGTTGGGGGTTGAGACCTACAGTTTTAGATGACTGAACTCATACTGCCACTCTTGCTAGTTTTGAGTCGGGGGGTGGGGTTACCCTCCCCCCTAAACTTGGCACACAGGCACACATTTAAGCAACTCTCACCAGCCCTCCCACCCCTCCATGCACACCCAGGCTTGACTTGGTCCAACTCTGCCCCCTCCCCACCTCACCCACCCCCAACTGGCTGGTGCCCCCAGCCCTGCAAGCACAGGCCCAGATGGGTGGCACGCTGTCACCTATGCACACAGAGCCAGCTGGGACAGCCACAGCTGGGGCAGGCACCCAGCATCCCCAGCCTGCCTTCAGGTCTAGAAAAAAGGCTGATACATTCCTAGGAAGGGCGGTGCTTCCCGCCACACCCCCTGCCCACTCAGTCCTCATCTCTAAGTGCCAGCCACGACACCAACCCCCCACCTCTAGAAACAAAGCCTGCACTCCTCTGAGTCACATTCGTCCTTGTTACAAAATGATCATTGTAAAAAAAAAGGGACAATGTCACAGAGTAGAAATCACACCTATTCCTGTTATTCAGAGAAAGTCCCTGCTAATATTTTGACTTTTTTTCTTGGAAATCATACCTCTGTATTTCATTTTATTTTTAAACAACCCATCTGCACATGCTGTTTTGTAACCTGCTTCCCTCCCCCCAACAACTACATATCTTGGACGTCTTTCCAGGCCATTAAATATTCTTCTACCAAGAAACGTCAAGGGCTGCCCAGTAGCCCATAATAAGCCACTGTTTATTTAACCAGTCTGTTGACTGCTGGACATTTTGTACCTCATTGCTGACCTTGTTTGAATCCTGGCTCTGCCACTGAAGAGTTGTGTGGTAACAGCAAAGTCACTTCCGCTTTCTGAGCCTCTGTTTGCTTATCTGTCCCTAATGCCCTGGGCAGCAGTGCCCAAACTTTCTGGCACCAGGGACCAGTTTCATGGAGGACAGTTTTTCCACAGACACGGGTGGGATGAGGGGAGGTGGGAGGCAGAGCTCAGGCGGTGATGCTTGGCCGGGTTCCTAACAGGCCACGGACCAGTCCCGGGCCGCAGCTTGGGGGTTGGGGACTGAGCCCCTGGGGCATTGCTTTGACGCGTAGAACATCCCCGAGTGGGTGTGTGACGCAGCACTTGGCACCGTGTCTCGAACACGTCCCCCAGAGTGCTTGTCAATGTGAAACTTCATCAGTTTCTCTGCTGTGCCTTCTTCTGCTTGTCCGGGAGTTCCTGGTTCATCCTGGCTGCTCTGAAAGATCACGGGGTTTTCCTGTGACTGTCGTTCTCAGGGTGCAAGTCTCCTTCCCGCCTCCTGGCAGCAGGACATAGGAGAGCTTGTCTTGGACTCTGGACTGGGAACCAGCACCCAGCGGGGACTGCACCAGGACAACCTGGCCAGTTTCTTCCACTGCTGAGTTTGGACTTCAGATCAGATGCCCTAGGACAGAGCCTTCCGGGATTCCCGTGATGTGAATTTCCTGGGCCAGTGGGAATGGCTGCCGCCTGCTGCTTCCAGGGTGAATGTGAAGGTCAGCTCAGGTCCCTGGACACACACTGAGCTGGGTGCCCCCACCTTGATGTCCAGAGATGTGACCCTCCTGGACAGTGGGCATGGTCTGGGAGCCTCCCACAGCTGCCAAGAGCCATTCTTTCCGGGGCTGTCCCTTTGTGAAGGGATGTGGCTGCACAAGACCAGCTCAGGGGCAGAGGGGAGCCTCGTTCCCCCAGCCAGGCCTCCCCTCTGGTCTAGCCCCTGGTGTGACTCCTCACAGCGCCCATTCCTCCTGCAAAGGAAATGCCAAGGCCTATGCCCCTGATTACAAAAGAGGGCTTCCAAGCTGCAAATCTGCTTCCAACAGCCAGAGTGCAGACCCTAAGTAACCCCAAGTCGAAAACTTGCGCGCAGGACCCAAGTGCGCATGTGTGCACACGTATGTCTCCTCTCGGTCCCTCCCACAATCCCTCACTCAAGCAGGCCCACGTTCGCTCGCTCATCCTCACACATGTGTGCACGCACGCAGCCACCCTGTGCCTGTGCCAGACAGCAGTCAATCCAGCTCAGCTCATGGTTTTGATCATGATGCTCTGGGAAGAAAGAGAGAATGTGATTGGCGAGGCCCCACTGCCAGACTGCAGGACTTTTCCGGTTATGCCCACCCCCAGGTGGTCAGCTCTCAGGTTTCCCCACCCCTTCAAGGCTGAGGGAGGAGGGGTGCACGCTGCCCCTGAGAAAGGACACAGAGACTTCCACCCCGACACCTCGTTTATCTGGTCGTCTACACCATGTGCACATTCTGGGTGAGACGCAGAGATTCCGGACTCCTCTAGATCACACGGTAAGGACGGCAGGTCAAAGCCCAGGGGAAGAGTGGGAAGGGGTCCCTGAAGGGAAGACCTAGGGCTGTTTCGGGAAGGACTCCAGAAGGGACATGCACCTGGAAGTATTGAGAGGATGAAAAGGCTTAAACACCCATCGCCCTCCAAGTCCCACCAAACCAGTGCAGAATCAGTCTAGAAACCTTTAACATTTAATTTAACTCAGCAAATATTTAGTGAGGTTCTACCATGTGCCAGGCACTGTCAGGTGCCACAAGAAGAAGAAAGCCCCCCCTGCCCCGTGCCCCGGCTCCCATCCTCCCCAGGGAAGTGCTGTCACTGCTATCACCCTCTGGGTGCACATTTTCCACACTTTCTTTCTGAGACGAGTCTTTCTAAGATGCGCTGCTCAGCACCGTTCTGCTGCTTCCTGGGGAATATCCACTGGCAGAGGGGCAACTGAGTCAGGGGTCAGAGGAATTGGTCCCAAGTTTGGCTCAGCCACAGACTAGCTGGATAGCCTTGACTAACTCATGGAATTTGTCAATCCTCAGTTTGTTCATCCATTTAAAAAAAAAAAAACAAAGGCTGGGGGATAACGAACACTGTCCTGCCTCCCTGGCAGAGCAGAGGAAAGCATCGGATGATGGATGACAGTCTCTGGGCTGGGGGTGGGCCTGGGCCGGTGGTGAGTGCAGCGTGACTATCTGCCATATGCCACTCACCCATAAGGGTCACCGCATCTGCGGGGCTCTGCCCCTTAACTAACTGCCCTGGGCTGTTGTACTTTTCTGGTTCTTGTGAATATCATTTTTAATACATGCTTCTCACTCTCTTCCTGCAGCACAGTGGTTTTCAACCTGGGGTGATTTTGTCCCCCAAGGACATGTGACAACGTCTGGAGACATTTTTCGTTGACACAAATGGAGAGGGTGTTTACCAGCATCCCTGGCTTCTAAACATCCTGTGATGAACAAGATGGTTCCCTACAAAGAAGGATGAGCCCAAATGCCATGAGGGCTGAGCTTGAGGAACCTGCTGCAGCAGGTCCGGCTGCTGTCGTTGTGATTCTGCTACTAGCATCTCTCCCCGCTGCTAATGAGGGAATCCAATCCATAGCAGGGTGGGAGACTAATCAGTCAAGCTTGCTAAGATTGGTTCTAAAATAAGAGTAAAGACGTACAGAATCCAGCCCCAGGGACTACTCTTGTGAGTCAAGGGCACAGGCTTTGTGATCCTGACTTAGGCTTGACTGGGGCTCAGGAACCGCACTGATGACTCGGTAGCTCTTAACAAGGTGGGAGGGGCCGGGGACAGAGATGCTGGGCCTTCAAGAGCCGTGTTCACACACACAGAATAGACCCTTCCCTAAGGCATCAGTCTGGGGTCTCTGATGCTCCAAGAGGCCTGGTTGAACCCTGGCTACTTCTGTGGTTTGTGCCTCTTCTATCTGGCCATGGGGTCCTGGCATGGCCTCCACCCCTCAGTGTGCAATTTCTGGCCACGCCCCGTACTTCCCTCCAGCCCAGAATTTGGCTTTGATGCTCCGTCTTTTCCCGACACTCCTCCTGGCTCCCACGCTGCAGCCAGGCAGATAGAACAATAGGCTCCCTTTCCTCCCTCTGGGTTTTCTACAGTGTTCTGCATGGGCAAGGGGGTCACACTCATGACCCCCGGGTAAGCGAAGCTTTACCATATTTGGTTTGGGAATGCACCATTTGTGTGACGTGCCAACACTTTGTTCTTGGCTCGGGCTTGCTCATTCCAAATTTCTAAGGACTTCTTTGGTTGCGAGTGACAGAAATCGACTCTGGCTGGGCTAAGCAAAACAGGAAACCTACTGGAAAGACCCCAAAGACATCTCAGGCATTCCGGGGCAGAGCTCTGCTAGGCCTCGGGGTGGACTAAAACCAGGGATGGGGCCATCGTGGAAGCTCAGCAAGGCCTCCCTCCCCTCTTTGGCCTCTGCCTCCTGCTCCTGCTGCCCCATCTGCTTTCTGGGATGTGCAGAACTGGGGGGGGGGGGGGAATGCCCGGTGAAAACAACAGCAGCCGGGTTTACATGTCTTCCATCCAAGGGAGCAACCAGCCTGGGCCGGAACCTCTTGGTCCTGATTCAACATTCCTTCGGGGGAAGGACTTCTTCCGTTGTAGGTGTGCAAACAAAATACTAGGTATCCTTGGTAACACTTACATATTGATGGCCAAGAGGGGACATTGAAAGAGAGCTTGTCAAAGGCACGGAGGAGAGTTCCTGTGTTGGGTAATGAGCTGTGAACGGCTGGGCGGGGTTGAAATGAAACCAGAGGGACTCAAGTAGCCAAATCCCACTCAACCCAACGCACTTGGAGGAGAAACCGCTGTGGCTCTAATCAGACTCAGACAGACAGAAAACTACAGCATCAAGCTGGGCTGTCTAGAACAGCGTCAGAGTTCCCTGCAGGTGCCCGGGAGAGGGATGGTGAGCTCTGCCAGGTCAGGACAGCTCAGGGAGAGCCACGTGAGGGAAGTGGTGTTGGAGCTGAGCCTTTTTTTTTTTTTTTTTTTGCGACAGAGTCTCACTTTGTTGTCCAGGCTAGAGTGAGTGCCGTGGCGTCAGCCTAGCTCACAGCAACCTCAAACTCCTGGGCTCGAGTGATCCTTCTGCCTCAGCCTCCCGAGTAGCTGGGACTACAGGCATGCGCCACCATGCCCGGCTAATTTTTTTTTTTTTTTTTTATATATCAGTTGGCCAATTAATTTCTTTCTATTTATAGTAGAGACGGGGTCTCGCTCTTGCTCAGGCTGGTTTTGAACTCCTGACCTTGAGCAATCCGCCCGCCTCAGCCTCCCAAGAGCTAGGATTACAGGCGTGAGCCACAGCGCCCGGCCTGGAGCTGAGCCTTGAGGGATGAAGGGGACACTTAGGGGCCCGAGCGAATGGAGACGGACTTACCTGGAGCTCATGGAAAGCCCCCGAGACGTGGGTGACTGCAAATGCCACATCCACGGGAGGATTTCTACCTGCCCCTTTTCTCACAGTCCCCTCTCTTTTCAGCCTGTTTTAGTTTCCTAACAAATGACCACAAATTTAGTGGCTGAAACAATATAAATTTATTCTCTTACAGTTGCAAAGTTCGGAAGTCTGAAATGAGTCTTACAGGGCTTAAACTCAAAGGGCAGGACCCGTGAACTTGCTTTTCCAGCCTAGAGGCCGCCCGCCGTCCTTGGCTTGCGCTCCTTCCTCCAGCCGCAAAGCACCTCGCTCCAACCTCTGCTTCCACTGACCCTCCTTCTGCCTTTGACCTTCTGCCTTTGACCTTCTGCCTTTGACCTCCTCTTAATAGGATGGTTGTGATCACACTGTGCTCACCTGGATGATGCAGGATAATCTTCCCATCTCAAGATCCTTAGTCACAGCAGCTAAGTCCCTTGTGCCGTGTAAGGTAACATATTCACAGTTTCCAGGGATTGGGATGTAGACCCTGATCCTTTCAAGGGGTGCATTGTTTGGCTTACCCCAGCTTCCTTCCCAACCTTCTCACTCTCCTTCCCACTGGAGGCAGAGCCACCCATCTGACTGGGCAGCCTGTGGGGTACACGACACTCCTGGGCCGGGCACTGCTCATCTGTGCTGGTGGAGGGGGATGGGCAGCCGGGGCTCCACTTGCGGCTGCCCTGGGTTAAGTGGACCGAGCCAGCCTTCTCCTGCGGGTAGGTCCAGGTGAGTCCTTGCTCCCGGGGTTCTGGTTTCTCTGGCTGTAATGGGAAGGTTTGTCAGAGTTGTGCAGTGACAAGATTGGAGGAAGGAAGTTGGAGGTCCTGCCAATTCTGCCTCCAGCTCTGCATTAATCCAGCCTCACCCTGCGTGCGGGTCCCCACTTAGTGCCTCCCATCTGTTCTTGATGGGTTGAGAGCCCTAAGAGGAGGAGACATGAGTGTGGGTTTCCCCTTGCCTGCCACAACCTGGGATCACAAGACCCCCAAGGGCAGCTATCTGGGCAGTGCAAGAAGGAAGTGCAGTGCCCAGAACAAGGCAGGGGAACGGCACATTGTCCTCCACTCTGCCAGACACGATGGAGTTTTATGTTCTGTCCTGGGGCTGCATTTAGAAAGAGACATTAGAGCAGAAACTGGGAGTGTGTCCAGGAGGAAAGGACTAGAAACATGTCACATGATGAGCAATTACAGGAAGTAAGAGAATTAACATTTGTTGCATATCTAAAATGTGAAGGCATTTTGATTAGAGGTGCTCTATCACCCCAGAAACCCTTGAGAAAAGTGTATTTATCCTCCTTAAGCAGATGAGCAAGAAGAGCTGGTTGTTAAAAAGAGCCTGGAGCCTCCCTCCTCTCTCTCTCTTCCTCTCTTGCCATGCGATCTCTGCACACCGGCTGCTGCTCACCTTCCCCCGTGAGAAGAAGCAGCCTAAGGCCCTCCCCAGCAGCAGATGCTGGAGCTGTGCTTCTTGTCCGGCCCACAGAACCATGAGCCAAATGAACCCCTTTTCTTTATAGATTACCCAGCCCCAGGCATTCCTTTATAGCAACTCGAGAACAGACTAAAATAAGCACCATCATTTTATTAGAGAGGAGTCCAGATTTAAACAAACAAAAGATATTGTATACTCCTTTGCCACACTGGGTGGCGGGGGGTGGGGGGAATGTGTTACAATTCTGGCCTATGGGAGGTAAGCAGAAGTCTGCTGGGTATTTCTGGGAAAGTGTTATTTCCTTGTTTTCCTTTTTTTCTTCCTGCTTGGAGTGTGGATTGGAGTCTGGAGGTGGAGCAGCCACTTTGTAACTGTGAGGCAATCATGAGGATCAAAGCTACCTATTAAGGCCAGGCGCAGTGGCTCACGCCTGTAATCCTAGCACTCTGGGAGGCTGAGGCGGGTGGATCCTTTGAGCTCAGGAGTTCAAGACCAGCCTGAGCAAGAGTGAGATCCCGTCTCTACTAAAAATAGAAATTAATTGGCCAACTAAAAATACACAGAAAAAATTAGCTGGGCATGGTGGTGCATGCCTGTAGTCCCAGCTACTTGGGAGGCCGAGGCAGAAGGATCGCTTGAGCCCAGGAGTTTGAGGTTGCTGTGAGCGAGGCTGACGCCATGGCACTCTAGCTGGGGCAACAGAGTGAGAATCTGCCTAAAAAAAAAAAAAAAAAAAAAAGCTACCTGTTAACAGTGGTGGAGCAGAAAGAGGAAGGAACAGGGACACTGAGGACCTCACAGAGCTGCCACACCAGCTCCAGCCTGCCCAGTCCCAGCCTTACTGCAGGGAAAGAAGCATCTGTCTGTGTTGGGTGAAGACACAGTAGTCTGGTTTCTGCTTCGTGCAGCTGCACATGATCCGTGTTAGTAATAGGGAACATGACAATTCTCCTAAAGTACGTGAACGGCTATCTTTGGAAATGGGTTTGGGCTTTTCCAGTGTTGCTCTGGAGGGCAGTCCTAGGGACTATGGAAAGTGCAGGAAACAGAATCTGGCTCAGTCAGATGGAAGAAGAACTTTTTAGCTATGCTCTTGGTTCTTGGCTCAATGAAAGAGTTGACAGTCAGGAGCAGTCCTCACCCATGGGATGGTTTGAGCAGAGATTGGATGGCCCTAAGTGGGGCCAGACAAAGAGACAATGTTTGCATCAGTTACGGGCTGAACTAGATGACATTTACATGTCTGAACATGCGTGTTCTCATGTGACCCTCCTGATAAGGAGTTTTTGCAGGAGTGTACAGTGGGCCTTTTCCCATATGTACATGTAAGCGAATAGCTACCCTTGACGAAACAAGTCCCACCACCAGATTAGCCCTGGACGAAGAACATGGAAGCTGGGAGACTAGGGCTAATTAGGTTGGCTCTTCTGCCTTTGTGTTTTGACTTTTCCCTGGGGTCTCCTACTTCTAGCATGTTGTCTCCAGAGAGGTATCTCACTCAAGAGTCTCTAATTTATAAGTTTTATAAAGTCCCCAGGATGAAATTTGTTGCCTCAACTAATTAAATATTTGAGAGGTTTCTGTTTTCAGGCATGGCTGGATCCAGGTACACAGATGTTATCAGCAGGAAGGAACCTCTTTCCTGACATATCTCTGTGTTGTTTGTCCCTGAGTAGACTCCATTCTCAGGCAGTTCTTCACCTGGTGGTGGCCAGGTGTCTACCAGCAACTTCAGACCTGCATTGCAGCAGCACAGCTGCTCCAGCAGTGAGATAGCACCTCTTTTCCAGTAGTTCAGCAAAAATCCTGAAGAGGACAGTCATTGGTCCAGCCCAGGTCACGTGCCCACTTTTTACCAATCTTGGTGGTCAAGGACATGCAGTGCTCTCATTGGCTAGGCCTGGGTCATGTGCTCCCACCTGGTGGATGGGTCAGCCCCACTTGGACTGAGAATGAAAGAGGGATGGAGTCCCACCAGGGAGAAGAATCAGATGCTAGACAGGCTAAAGTGACAGACAGCTTTCTGCTACAGGGGTGCTGCTCCCCCTTTCCCACTCCCACTGAAGGCTTGGCCCTCACCTCTGTGCCCATTTATATGGTCAGGACAGTCTCGCTCTTTCCAAGACTGTTCTGGCTAAGGGAGAAAAGGGGAATTGATCACAGACTCTCTAAGAAGCATAAACTCAGCTCCACTTACTAAGTAAAACGTTATGACTTGAATGACAATCCAGCTGTGGCTCAGATGCTGCTTTGCAGAAACCTTCGCTGGCTTCCTTGCTTCTTGGTTCTCTACCCGCCACTACATGGAGGGCACTGATGTAGTTTCATGCACAGGAGCTAGACCTTTAGACACCTGGATCTTCTGTGCCTCGGCAAAGACGACTTCTGACTGTTGCCCACTTACAACCCACTCGCTGGGTTCTGGAGGCCTCCGCCTCTCCATTGTCTTCACGAAAGAGGACAGAGTTGTCTGTACTTCTGGTTCTAGTCCCTCAACTCCAACCATTCTTTTTTTTTTTTTTTTTTTAATATGGGTAGCTTTTTTTTTTCCAGCATATTATGGGGGTACAGATTTTAAGGTTTCAATAAATGCCCATTCCCCCCTCCCCCCACAAGTCTGAGTTTCCAGCATGACCATCCCCCAGATGGCATTTTTTAAAAATTTATTTTATTGTCTTAATCAAAGTAATAGGCATATGTGTTTTACAAAATTAAATACACAATTAATATAAGGGTTATAATAAAATCTCCCTTCCCCAATTTCTTCTCCCAAGAAGCAACCATCTTTAACTTTTTAAGTTGTTTCTTATGCTATTTGCCTCCAGATTTGTAAAATATACTTGTATTCCTATATATGTGTAAATTTTAGATACTATCAGTTGAGTTTCTATAGTGGAACCTTAGGATCCAGCTCCCTGACCACACAACCCTCTCCCTAGCTCAGTACACGTCCTCTGCACCCATCCTCCTCTGACAGATTTTGTTAAACCATTATTTAGTGTTTGCATTGTGTATATGTAAACTTGTTCACAGCTGAGCCCTATCCTATACTGTGATTATTTTCCCTCTATTATACAACTTGGAGTTACCCATTTGCCTCTTTCTTGTTTGCTTAGTTAGCTCTCTTTTTAAAAAGACCTCCCTCCTGGAGCCTTTCTTGCTTCAAATTGGACTAGTTGACTTAGCTGTCATCTTGGTGTTGTTTCTTTCCCATTATCCTAGGAATTCTTCTCTCTTTTTCTTTCTTTCTCTCTCTCTCTTTTTTTTTTTTGGTGGCAAAAACTTTCATATCTTCCTGAGAAAGTGTGCATTGGAAGTAAAAATTTTGAGGCCTTACCTGTCTGAAATGTGTTCATTTCCCCCTTCACACTTCTTGATAGTTGGGCTGGGTATGGAATTGCAGGTTAGACACAATTTTCCCTGGGAACATTGAAAGCTTGTTCCATTTGTTCCATTGTCTTCTAGCTCTAGTGTCACTGTTGAGAAGTCTGATGTTAATTTTAATTTCTAGTTTTTCTCTCCAGGGCCTGGGACATGGTGGTATCCAGCAAATGTTCGCTGAATGAACGTATGACCACACACATGCTTGACACATCTGGGATGGTGGGTGAAAGTGTAGTCATGAACATGTTGACTCAGAATGTGCTACTCTGCCATTATTATTGGCTATCAGAGGTTTCTGTCTTCTGTGGGGGGTGGGTGGGGAGGAACTGTTCTTACCCTAATCTTATTCTGGAGGGATTAATCCAAAAGGCTCTCACCAATGGAAGTTTCAGCCTGCTTAGTACTGTCTCCACCCCCAAGCTGCTGCAGAAACCTACAATCATCCAAGCACTCCTGGGTGCTCTTGGTCAGGTTACCCACCACCTTCTCCCATCTGCAAATGGAGGCAGTTCAGACTGCCCGGGGATGTCGGGGGTCTTGCCTCTGAGGGAGGGTGCTCCAAAGGCTGCTCCTGCCAATTGGCCCTGACCCATCACGGTTCCCTGCACTACACCAGTCACCTCTGTAGTAATAACTCTTCAAGACATCCCTCCTCTCTGTGCCTCAGTTCAGGCCATTACATTTCTCTCCTGGTATATTCCTATAATCTCCCAACTGGTCTTTCTGCCTGGAGGCTAACTAACCACCTATGACGGTTTTACAATATGTCTGCAAATATTCAACAGGCCTCTCTCCAAAACATGGAGCCTGATTCCTCTCTCCTTGAGTGGAGGCTGGACTTACTGACTCACTTCTCACAGACTGTGGCAGAAGTGAGCGTGAATAGGTCATAAAAGCACTGAGCCTTTCTCCTTATTCGCTCCTGGACCACAGGCTCTGATGCTAGCTGCCATGGAGAGGCCTTGTGTTGAGGAACCGAGGCCTCTGCGGACAGCATGTGAGCTGGCCGGCCTGGAAGCACATCCCCAGCCCGCTCCAGCCTTCAGACAGCGTGACTGGAACCTCAGAAGAAACCCTGAATAGGACGTTGGAACTTTAAGATGGGAGTCTGCCAACCTCCTCATTTGCCGGCAAATTAATAAACTTCTCTTTCCTTCTCCTCAAAAGAAAAAGAAACCCTGAACGATAACCACCCACCTAAGCTTCTCCTGGATCCCTCACCCTCAGAAACCATGTGAAAGAATAAACATTTATCATCTTATACTGCTAAGTTTTAAGGTAATACATTATATGGCAATAGATACCTAAAACACCTCTTTCTAAATACCCTTAAAACCACTGCTGAAAGAATCTTTCTAAAACGAAAATCCGATCAAGTAATTTTCCTTCTAAAATCCATCGTGGCTACTCGAAACTTTCAGAGTAAAGTCTTCACTTCTTCACTTAGCACGCAAGGCCTCCCTGTTATATGCGGCCTCCCTGCCCGGCCCTCAGGCGTCATTTCCAACAACCCTCTTCATCCATGTTTGTTCTCTTTGCCCAGATTGCCCCAAATTTCCTCTTTTTTTAAAACTACCCAACCAACCAACAAATTATTAACAACAAGAATGGCAAACAGCCCTGCCAATGCGTGGGCGTGCAGATGGACCAGAGCCAGTCCTGCGGGTCCACGGCTCCCGGGTTCACTCCCTTCCGCAGCCCCTCACCCCGAGTGTGGGCAGGACAGGCGACTTGCTTCTAACCTAGAGAATATGGCGAAGGGGGTGGGGGGGATGGTAAGGGTACCTGGAAGTGAACTCCTGCCCAGAAACCCTTTGCCACTTGTCCCAAGGTAACCAAGAGGTGCTGGTTGGTTTTTGGCATGCCAACACTTTACTCTGTAATTTCTCTCAAGTGGGCTCATGTCTGGGCATCGTATTTCCATAATCCAAGCTCCATATCGATGTCTATTTACTTTGTCCCCTCCTCGGCCACACGTACCCCACACTCTCCTCCCAAGGTGCCCAGTGTCCCAGGTGCTCACTCAATTCCCGCTTGCTTTCGAGACCTGCAGAGTGAGGGCCGAATGAGGAGATGGGTGGGTGGTTTGCTGGCTCAGGAAGGAGAGTCCCCTCTCTGGTTCCCCGATCTGTCCCACAGGCCTCACTCCCCAGTTATTTCCGGCCAGGTTGCCTAGAAGAATCTGAGGTGCAGCTTCTTGTGCAAGTGACCTTTTGAAGGCAGGCTCTCAGGGGAAACCTGTAAAGAAAGGGTAGGGAGGGTGTAAGCAAACCTGTGAGTCCAGCAGCCAGAGCCCAGGCCCATGGGGATCTCCAGGGCAGAGTGGCTCCACAGGGTTTGTCCCACCTTGAGGCAACAAGACAGGCATTCTGTACCCTTTTGTACCCTGGTGTCATTCAATCGTCGCCTTTGTCTGGAAACAGCCAGCACTCCAGGCCAGGCAGCTCCAAGAGGCCAGGGAAGCTCCCAAAGAAGTGGTCAGCCGTGAATGACTCACATTCACAGTAGCTGGCCTGGCGAATGGGACCTGGGTCATGATGTCCTGCCACTGGATGTGTCAACTCCTAGCCTGAAACTGTCCCTGTGAGTCCCCCAGCCCCAAGGTTTAAGGCTGCCTAAACCCCTGAGGCTGGAGCTTGGGGCTCCAGTCTGCCCAGGGGAACTGTTTGTGAAGGAAGGGCTCTGTAGTGGGGTGAATAATGTCCCCCCAAATTCATTCTGGACCCAGAACCTCAGAATGTGACCTTATTTGGAAATAAGGCCTTTGCAGATGTAATTAGTTAAGGATCTTGAGCTGGCAGTTCACGGAAGGGTGGTGGCCGGCCCTTTGCAAACCTCAGAGAGCAGGATGGGGAGGTGTTCAGAGAAGGCGGCAGAAGGAGGGGACTCCCTCGCCCCCTAGCCCACATGCACCTCCTGCCCACTTCTGTCTGGAGCGCCCGTGTGGAGTCTGGCTGCCCTTCTGCTGGGAGAGGGTCCTTGGGAGGTGGCCAGGGCCTCAAGGATTAAGCCACCTGCCAAGGTCACACACGTAGGTGGTGGAAGTAGGGAAACCCGAGTCTGTCTGACTCAAAGTTCATGTTCGGCCTCAAGAAAGTGGGGAGGAGGGAGAGCCCAGAGCAAGATTTAGATGAGTTTTTCTTTTTCTTTTCTTTTTAAGACAGGGTCTCGGCATCATCATAGCTCACTGCAACCTCAAATTCCTGGGCTTAAGCAATCCTCCTGCCTTAGCCTCCTGAGTAGCTGGGACTACAGGCATGTGCCACCAAGCCTGGTTAATTTTTTCTATTTTTAGTAGAGATGGGGTCTCGTTCTTGCTCAGGCTAGTTTTGAACTCCTGGCCTCAAGCGATCCTCATGCCTTAGCCTCCCAGACTGCTACGATTACAGGCTAAGCCACCACACCCAGGCTTAGAAGAGTTTTTCTGGAAGGAGCTAGATCTCAGGAGAGGGTAGGAAAAGCCAGGCTGCAGGGCAGCTGGGATAGCTCAATCTGGTCTATTTGGGAGGGGTGAAGCTGAGAGAGGCCATGTCTTCTCCATTTTCTTAGAAGAGGAAGGAAGGCACCTCCCCCCTCTGCAATTCACAATCCAGCTCCAGGCCAAGCTGGCAGCATTGGGCACTGGCAGGTACTGAGAGCTAAGTACTAGCTCCCACCGGTGGCTTTACACTCAGTCCCTCCTGCTGGGGTCGTGAGATGACAGGTAAGAGGAGTTGATGATCTACCCCAGGACACTCCTCAGCCATCAAGCTTCGAGATGATAAATAAAGATGCCAAACTTGGGGCTTTTCCATATTTTTTAAAGGTTAAAGATGGACTGATGGAGATATGATAAGGCAAGACCAGTCACCCGTTCCATCACCCCCTTTCCCACAGCCCCAGGTCGGGGAGGAAGCAGGTGGCAGCAGCAGGTAACTGGCTTCTGGGCTGGGCATAGGGTGGGCAGCTGTGCCCAGAACTTCTCCCCGCCCCACCCCTCAAGCTGGGCTGAATCCTGGCAGGAAGGGGCACTAGAGGCCCCGGTCACGTTTGGAGAGACGAGCAGAGGCGTTACCCACCTGCTCTCGGCTGCGGTTCTGGGAGGCAGCCGGTGCTGGAGAACGCCCCTCGCAGCTGCAGATTGTGCCGCGTGGGGTCTTGGGCAGCCCCACTTCCAAGCTTAAAAAACAAAGTTGCTACTGCTGCCACAGGGAAGGCCAGGCTGGGCTGCGGATCGTGCATTGCATGGTGGCATGGCCAGGTGTCCAGGGGCTAAAGGCTGGTTCCTGTCTCTTGGTTTTCACGGTCTTCTCCCGCCCCATCCCCCACCCCAGGCACACAGGTGCCAATTGTAGTAGGCAAGCCAGCTCTTGCCCTCCCAAGAAACCTGATCTAAGGGGACGGAGGGGTTTTTTCACCCTTGGCTCCCAGGCTGGGGGATTGCTGGCTCCAGGGCTGACGTTCAAGCAACACAGCGATACAGTGTTGTTGACGCGTTAAAATGCTTCCATTCCAGTTGGCAAATTGCTGCCCCTAAGCCCCCCAAACACTCCCTCACTGTTCCAGCCTGCTCTTCCTGGGACCCCAACACCTTTCCCGAATCCAGCATTCAAAGGGGCATCTCAGGGGGTCTCCAGGACCCTGACTCAGGGTTAACATCCATGCTGATTGCCGGGGCTTCTGCTGCTGCAGCTTGTTAAAGTTCTTGAATATCCCTCTGGTGAGACCCAGGGCCTCAGTGTTGAGGAAAGACCACCTGGGGGAAGTTAGGGGGTCTGGGATCCAGCTGTATCACCAACAGGCGGTGCGACCTCGGGTAATAGTCCCCTTTGGGTCTGTTTCCTTACCTGTGGAATGAGTGTGCTGGGCCAGGTGAGCTCCGACGGCTTTGATGGAATCCGTGGTTCCATCTTCTTGCTCCAAAACAGGTGTATACTCACGTGCGTGTGTGCACCCGCCTACATGTGTGTGTCGGGGATGAATCCCCATGTTTCCTCGCCACTGAGCTTCAATTTCCAAGTGTGACAAAAAACCTACTACCAAATGAGGGGTCCCCAGCCCAGGGCAAATGCCTGGTGGCCCAGAACTGTAGGACCTGGAGCTTGTGCTTTGATCCCCTGTCTGCGTCCCTTCCCCCTTCGGCCATGGGCCACTCCCAATGGCATCGACTCAGCCCCTCTGTCTGCATAAAAGGCACGTAAGCATGATGCTCACTGAATTTGTCCTGTTGAGGGTGATGGTCTCCACTCTCTGGATGCCCCCACGTGGCAGATGCCATCTCCACGTGCCAGCACTTTCTCTTTAAAAAATACCCTGTCATGGCAGGCAGTACTCCCATCACACCTGGCCGGGGTAGTAGCATGTTCTCCTTCCCCAAGAGGGGTGGGCCATGGAGTCGGTAGACCAGAGAGACCACCCCCCGCCCCTGGGCAGGCCTGGAATTGAACTGACCGCCAGGCGGAACAGAGACTTGCTGACCTGATAGCTAGCTTTTCCCGCTGCGTGGGAAAGGATGCTATTCTTGCCTTGTTTCTAGAAGCTGCTAGATGGACTGTGAAATAACGTAGGACAGACAGAAAGATGGGCAGAGGGGGCTGGGTGGTGCAGGAGGTGTGTGGAGTCTGTCACGTGGATTCCCAGATCTGGTCATGTTGTGGGGTGGGGAGGAAGACGGATCTTCGGTGACAAACACTGAAGCAGCAAGGACCGCAGCGCAGGCAGGAGGGGCAGGTGGAGGGAGTGAGTCCGGGTCCGCTGGAGGGGGTGGGTGAGGGAGGAGCAGGAGGGGCAGGTGGAGGGAGTGAGTCCCGGTCCGCTGGAGGGGGTGGGTGAGGGAGGAGCGCGCAGCCTTGCAGGCAGGCTGGGCTGGTGGGCGTGTAGCGGGGTGTCTAGGCACCGCACGGGCAGGAAGGGCCTTCTAGACGTCGCGTGCAGGAGCAGCGGAGCGCGTGGGATGAGACTCACCTCCAGGGAGAGGCTCAGGCCCCACACCCTGCGTGTCCTGGAGGCTCGGGAGGGAGGGGTGATTCTGGGTACCGCGCAGGAAGCATTAGCAAGACTTGGCTCCCCACGGCTCACATTTGAGCCTGTGGGAAATATAGGCAGAAATGGAGGAGAATGCAGGAAACTAAATGAGAGGAGGAGCTCTCTTGTTAACAACTGTGTCAGGCTGGGCAAGGTGCCTCACGCCTGTAATCCTAGCACTTTGGGAGGCCAAGGGAGGAGCATCACTTGAGGCCAGGAGTTCGAGACCAGCCTGGGCAATGTCGAGATCCCGTCTCTACAAAAATATAAACTTGGGCGTGGTGGCATGCGCCTGTGATTTCAGCTACTTGGGAGGCTGAGGCAGGAGGATCTCTTGAGCCCAAGAGTTTGAAGCTGCAGTAGCTATGATGACACCACTGCATTCCAGCCTGGGTGACAGGGCGAGACCCTGTCTCAAGAAAACAACAAAAAACCAAAGCCTGTCCCCAGGAGCACAAGCCGTCCTGCTTTGGGGCCCTCTAACGTGCGGTGGGAGAGAGACACTCCCCTCCTGCAATGGGGTGTGCGGCCGTGAGCATGGCGCCCACAGGGGTAGGAGAGAGCGGAGGAGTCGACCCACGGGCACCGAGTGGCAATGATCCAGTCTGGTCTGTGAGCACATGTGAGGTGCCGTGAAGTTTCCAGAAGTTCTTGATAAGGCTTGGGGGACACTCTGCAGAGGCCCTAGTCCCCGCTCTAGTGACCAGAGGCGAGTGTGAGGGAGACCAGGTGACAGGTGGCAATGGTGAGCAGGTCCCTATGCAGCCAGACGTGTAGTGTGCATGGCTGGAAGTCTGGGGCTGATGTGAGGCCTCAGGCAGGAACAGGGCTCAAAACAGGAGAGGAGCAAAATTAGGGGGAAACTGAGTCTGGTCAGAGGCCAGGCCAGGGCCATGCTAGGGGAGGCTGGTCCAGTCGGGTGTTGGGGGGCAGCTGGCGGAGCTGCCCCCCAGAGCAAGCAGAGGGCTTTGCGCTGAGCCCCCATGGGCCCTGTAGACGCAGGGGCCCGAGGGCTCCCGGGGTCCCCTCCTGATCTTAAAGGAGAGAATGAATGAAGACTCGTGCTCTGCAGTTCTTGTAGACTTGGTAGACCTGGAAGCGACTCAAGGTAGTTTTAGATTCTTTCAACAATGGGAGGCAGCTGGAGTCAGGCCCTTGAGGGGCCATGAGCCTGGCACCTGCGCCCACAGTGGCTGGACCAGGTGCCGAGGGAAGAGCAGGGGCCCAGAGCTCCAGTGGGGCTTGGGCAGCTACCCCGAGGACAGTTTCCAGTTCCCTTCTTGCCCGAAAACATCCCAGACTATGGAACAGGCCCGGGTGGCCAATGGTTCGTGGCAGCGTGAGGGACGCAGCTCATGCTGGGGTGGGACAGAGCCATGTCGGGTTGGCTGACGGTGTCCTCTGTGCCAGGCCCCGAGTCTGGCCCTTCACGGTCCTCAGCGGAGCCCATGTTCCCGGTCACCCTGGGAAGGGGCTGAGCCCCCGTTGCAGGTGAGAAAGCCGCAGCGCGTTGCCCACGGCGCTGAGCCGGTGAGTGGCAAAGCTGGCATCCGACTCCAGAGCTCTGCCCTGACCCGGGCCACTGCTGCCCATTCCAGGGAGGGCCCTTTGGCTTGTCGCCTTGTCACTTAGCTGTTGGCCTCCCCTGACTGCAAGGCCTCGGTTTCCCTGTCTGTGAAAATGGGAGGGGACATGGAAGGGCAGCGGCAACAGACAGCAGCCTTGGCAAGCCTGGAAGCTGGGCGCGATGGTGGGAAGCCCACGGGGGACAACGTTGAGACTGGCGGGTTCATCCACCCTCTGCCCTTCCCTCCAGCCTTGCGGAAGCAAGTCGCCTGCTGCTGCCAGTTTCCCTGGATCCCCTCCCCGGCCCTTTTCTCTGGGCCTTGCTGGGGTTGGCAGGCCACAAACCTCCCTCAAGAGTGAGGAGAGAAATTCTGATGAGAGCCCACCCTCTCCCACCCGGCCTCTGCGGCACATTTGCATTTTGATGGAGAGGGATTAGCAGCCTGGGTCCTGGGAGAGGCAGAGGAAGGAGTCTCCCTGGCCCAGCTCTCCACCTCAGGGACAGAAGGTGAGGGTGTCCAGTGCGCCCTGCCAGGGGCCCCTGGCTCCCATCTGGCCCGTCTCTGCCAGAGAGGGCAGACTCTGGGCCAGGGTCCAGGCCGGGCTAAGTCTCCACTCTCCCCGCCCCAGGGTGGGGTCCCCTTTCCACCCTCTTCTGTGGAGCTTGGCTCCTCCCCAGCACTGGCCCGGGACCCAGGGCCCGCTCCCCGCTGCCAGCCCGTTTCCCAGCACTGCCTGATCCCAGACCAGCTGTGAGTGACCCGGAGCCCGCAGCAGCAGGGGGCTGGCAGCTGGGAGGTGGGACCCAGAGTCTGCCCAGCCCCTGCAGGCTGGCTCCAGCGCGGGAGTGCGGCAGCAGGCCCCGGCAGCCTTCTGGAGGAATTTCTGAATTACCTACTGGCTGGAGACCAGAGGCCAGAGCGGGCCTGGGCCGGCCCTGCTGGCTGAGGCCCGAAGAGCCTTTCTCCTGGCTCGGGGCCTCACCAGCACCGCCCTCCTGCCCACGCCCCCTGGGCCACCTCCAAGAGCCAGTTCCAGCTGGAGGGCTTATCCGCCTGCCCCCCCCACTCCCATGGTGGTGGTGGGGAGACAGCAGAGGGCCCCCTTTCCTCCCGACCTTACCTGTGATCCACTGGGGTCAGTGCCGTCCCTTCTCTGCTGTCTCCCGGCAGCACACGCTCTGCCTTGGCCAAGCTGCGGGGAGGCCCCGCCAGAGTCTTCATCTTCATCAGGACAGCTGCGGGGGGGCTGGAGGAGGGGAGCCGGGCCTGGGCGGTGGGAGGAGGACGGCTTGGCTGTTCCAACACCCTCTGATTCTGTTCCCAGACAGGACGGCCCCTTGTGCACAAATGTCCTCACCCCCAGACAGAACCAGCTACATAATTTGTAGGATCATTTGTTAGAAAAAGATTATTAAGAATTTCAAGACTGCGATAACAGAACATGAAAACAAGCACCAGGCCCTGCTAAGTGTGGGGCCTCGTGCGACTGCACAGGTTGCACACCCGTAAAACCGGCCCGGCCCCCAGAAACCCACTGGCCCTCCTGGCCTCGTCCCACCTCTCCTGGACCATAGATGCCTTTGAGACCTTGGCCAAAAGGCAAGTCTGAGCAGACACCCACCCACCCTCTCCTTTATCCTAGCTCTGTCCTCAGTGGAAGTGTCTATGTCCTACCCAGACCTTCCTGCCAGGGAAACTGAGGCAGCAGGGAGGACTGGGACCTCCCCCTCCTGAGCAGTACCATCCACCCCAGCTGACCAGGGGAGGGGAGTGACCGGGTGGCGGTGGGTCCCCAGGCTCCTCTCAGCTGCCCATGGTATGCCACCCCCAGGGCTCTTGGTGGGGGACCGGGGAGGAGAGTCCCTGTCCTGGCCTGTTACTTATTAGTGCCATTTTTCCTGAGGGGAGAGAGCCGGGGGTGTCCAGGGGCACGTTGCCAGCTCCAGCCCAGGCCTCTGCACAGCCATGGCTGGGTTTCTTTGTTCTCTGCGGCCACTGCCCAAGAGCTGGCTCAGCCTGACTGGGCAGGGTGACTGCCCTGGGGCCGTTCAGTCCCCCGAGCCAGGGGGAGGGCAGGGGCCTGAGTCGGAGCCAGCAGGGTCCTGTGGGTCTGGAGACTGTCCCCCCAGCAGCAGAGAAATGCCAGGCCCAGGGGAAGGTGGCCGCCACTCTGCCCTGGCAGGCCACTCAGGTGGCAGCCAGTGTGGAGACACTCCTTTCACAGCTTCAGCCGGGAAGCCCCGGGCCTGTCACCAGCTCCAGGGGCCATAGAGCGACAGTCCCTCCCATCAGGGAGCGCTCAGTTGGGGCCTGGCCGGGGCTGCCCAGTCTGCGTGCGTTATTGCGTTGTTCTCACGAAAGGCATAGGACGTGGGTCCTAGTATTACAGCAATGAGATGCAGATTAATTGAGCAACTGGTTCCAGTCCACACAGCTGCCACGTCATCCCCAGTCCTGTGCTTTTCCTTCGTGGAAGTCATTACAATGAGAATGCTTGGGTGACTATTTGTTTAACGTGCACCTCCCTGATTAGGGCTCTAAGCTCCACGTCACTAAGTAGAGCTGCCATCTGATTCATGTCCAGCTGATGCCATTGTTCAAGGCTGTAACCCCGGCGCCACACACAGTGCCTGCACATAATAGAACCTCCACAAATAGTAAGGGAAGGAAGGAAGGAGGCGACTGGGTACGGATTCCAACATAGGTCAGCCTGAACCTAACCACTAGGCAGCACTACCTCACTGTCACCTGAAGGCTCCCTTGGCGAAATTCTGAAGGTCCTGGGAACAGATCCAAATGGAGCCCTGCACCCAGTCTAGGCTGGAAAAGGGACATCACTGGCTGTGGGTTCAGGGAAGGAGCTTGGGAAGAGGGGGAAGGGGGCCCTGTCACTCCTGAGGCTTCTGGTGGGTCCCTCCTTCCTGGGAGAGCCCACTGGTCCATCTGGTTTCTGGGTGGCTTACTACCTCCCCAGCCCTGTAAAGCAGGGGTCTTGGGCAGCTGGAGGAGACTGTCCCTGCGTGGGCTGGGTAGCAGGGAGGGCGTCAGCATGGAAGAAATATCTACATTTGCAGCGTGCTTCCAACCTCGCCCCATGGAGAGTCCAGCCCTCAGCTTTCACGGGGCAGCTGGGATGTCTGCTTCCAGTTTGCTGGAGCCTGGG